GCAGGAAATGTGGGTTCGATCCCTGGGTGGAGAATCTCTCCTGGAGAATGAAATCACAACCCACTCCAGTATTCCTGCCTGGGAAATCCCATGGAGAGAGAAGCCTGGTGGGCTACAGTCCATGGAGTCACCGAAGAGTCAGACACTTGACTGAGCGTGCATGTGATAGTGTATATCAGTGTTTAAATTGTGACTCTGAAAGCTGTGAGGTTACAAGTTAGAGCTCGATTCAGTTCAGTCACTCAGTCATGTCTGACTTTGCAACCCCATGAACCGCAGCACGCCAGGCCTCCCTGTCCATCACCAGCTCCCGGAGTCCACCCAAACCCATGTCCTTTGAGTTGGTGATGCCATCCAACCATCTCATCCTCTGTCGTCCCCTTCTCCTCCTGCCTTCAGTCTTTCCCAGCATCAGGGTCTTTTCAAATGAGTCAGCTCTTTGTATCAGGTGGCCAAAGTATTGGAACTTCAGCTTCAGTTAGAGTTGGCGCTGTGGAAATAAATGGTATCTTTCAGGGAGCGAGTAGAATCTCTCACCTTTTCTTCCTCCCCCTTTTCTGCTGTTACCTGCCACGTGGAAAATGACTAGCTCCTGTGATATAGTCTGCATGCCTCAACTCCTGCCTTCCTCCAATCTAGGCAGAGTAGACACTTTAAAATAAAATTAGTGAAGGCAGGTTTCTGGTTCTTTGAAACAACGACTGACTTGTTTGCAAACTTGAATTTCCTGGAAGACTCTGTGCATGGTCTGAGAAGACGAGGGAGAATGTGGGAATGACAGAAGCTGATGACAGCAGAATCTGCAAGGGGAGGGTTTTACTTAAAAGACCAGCAGGAACCCAATGGCCTTGTGGTAAATTGGCAGCTACTGGCCTGTCACCGAGCCAACTGTTAGCCCTGGGTGGTCTGACTGTCGGCCTTGCCTCCACCCTTTCTTTACTCACTCGGCGTTCATCGCTGAGGCCGCGTGGACATCACTTGCCCCGCTGAACTCTCTCACCGCACCTGCCTCTGAGAACCAGTTAGGATTCTTGTCCTCAGAATAAATCATGCTTGGCTATCTTTTTATTAATTTATCTGCCTTTCCCACCTGAAAGTAAACTGGAAAAACAGGGACTTGTCTGTCTTATTCATAGGAACAACCCAGGTTTTAGTCTTTTTATCTATATCTGCATTCACAGTGTTGACGAGCTCATCTTTCTACCCCTTGGTCAAACCTCTCTCATGGGATCCAGACTCGGGTATCCAATTACAGCTCCAATCATTCTGCATGGATGTCTAATAAGCACCGCACTTGTGTGTCCAAAACTGAACTGGTTTAACTTTCAAAACCTGGTTCTCACCCAGTCCATTTTTCCCACTCAACCTTAGAACCTTATGCTCATCGCACAATCTTCCTTTTCCTTTGTGGCACACACATCCCATTGACAAGGAAATCCTATTGGCTCTCTCTGCAAAACATGGGGTTTCTGACCACTTCTCACCACATCTCTGCTGATGTTCTGTCCAGGGTCTTACCTGTTTCGCTTTCTGCCACCCAACCCCCTCCTCACATATCAGCCCAGCACCCAAACAAAAAGCCAGGTGGGCCCGCGTCAGCCTCTGTGCGGAGCCCTTGGGTGGCCCTTCATCACACCAGAGATGGGCCATGGCCTGGGTGGGATCTGACCCCATAGACCCAGGGCCCAGGACTCTCTCCCTTCTCTCCCCACCCTCCCCACCAAATTGCCCCCCACTCCAGCAGACTTTTATTTTCTTGGGCTCCAGAATCACTGTGGAGGGTGACTGTGGCCATGAAATTAAAAGATGATTGCTCCTTGGAAGAAAAGCTGTGATAAATCTAGACAGCACATTAAAAAGCAGACACATCACTTTGCCAGCAAGGGTCTGTATAGTTAAGGTTATGGTTTTTCCAGTGGTTGTGTATGGATGTGAGAGTTGGACCCAAGAGAAAGCTGAGTGTCAAAGAATTGATGCTTTCAAACTGGGGTGCCAGAGAAGAGTCCCTTTGGACAGCAAGGAGATCAAACCACTCAACCCTAAAGGAGATCAACCCTGAAGATTCAGTGGAAGGACTCATGCTGAAGCTGAAGTGCCAATCCTTTGGCCACCTGATCCGAAGAGCTGACTCACTAGAAAAGACCCTGATGCTGGGAAAGATTGAGGGCAGGAGGAGAAGGGGACAACAGAGGATTAGATGGCTGGATGGCACCATTGACTCAGTGGACATGAGTTTGAGCAAACTGCAGGAGGTGGTGGGCAGGGAAGGAGGACAGGGAAGCCTGGCATGCTGCAGTCCGTGGGATCACAAGGAGGCAGGCACGACTGAGCGACTGAACAGCAACCAGCAGCCCACTCTTGCTCTGGCCTTCATCCTGGTGATTTTGTCTTCCTGCAAGTTCTTCCCCACATTGCCAAGTGCTTCCTTCTGTCTCAAGTCTTTCTTCACAGGCCACCTCCTCAGTCAGGCTGCCCCACCCCCGACCCCATTTATTCTGCCCCATGCCTGTTCTTCTTTCTTCTGCATTTTCTTCCCTGGAATGTGTCATCTTCCAACATTGTATAGAATCAGTCATTCATATTATATTCTCTCTTCTTCAGCTGGAACATGCACTCTGCCAGAGCAGAGATTTTTGTCTATTTTGCTCATAAATAGCAGGTGCTTGGTAACTATTTTTTGAATAAATTAATGTTAAATGCTATGTTAATGTTACTTTTTCATAATAAAATGTGTCAATGTAACTTTAAGATGTGAAAACTTTAGCCTCTTAAAATATTCTAGAACTCTTTTCAAAATTTTCTATTTTGCTGGCTTTTACCTAGTTCTCAGTTTGCATATTCAAAGAAATTATCTGTTTTCTTAAAATAACATGTTGAGTGAGCATGGTGAGAAATATTACTTTTTCTACAAATGAGCTCATTCTTTTCTGAGTGCTATTTATGGAACAGCTTTTCTGACAGATGATTCAGGATCTTCATGTGACAGTGGACCCTTGAACAGCACGGGGGTCAAGGGTCCAGAGGACCTGGAGACTGACTCAGGGCTGAGGGCAAGGTCCCTTGCCCTTCCCCCCAGCTCCCCTGTGCCAGTTTGATCTGCTTTGATTCCTTGCTGGTTCAGCTCTTCCATTCTCAGGAAACGTTGATAAGACTTAAGATAGAAAAGAAAAGAGAAACATCCACTTTTCAATTGTTTGCAAAATTAAGTTATATAAAGTTTATTCAAATTTTAAATTATCGATATCTTGCTCTTTTTCTTTTTTTAAAAAAATTTTTTATAACTAATTATAAAATTTAAAAAATTAAAATTTAAAAAAATTTAAAATTTTTAATGTTAATATGTTGTGTTGGGTCCTGCCACACAGCAACATAAATCGGCCACAATTATACATACGTCCTGTTCCTCCCTAGCCTCCCCTCCCCCACCCCATCCCTCAAGGTTTTCACAGAGTGTCAGACAGGGCCCCTTGTGCAACACAGTAACTTCTCACCCAGTGTGAGATGGGTATCTTACGCCTGATAGCGTATATAGGTTGACGCTACTTTATCCAGCTATGCCACTCTCTCCCTCCCCACTGTGCCCACAAGTCCATTCTCTACGTCTGCATCTCCATTCCTTCCCTGCAAATAGGTTCATCAATACCATTTTTCTGGATTCCATATATATATATATATATATATATATATATACATTAACATACTGTATTTGTTTTTCTCTTTCGGCCTTACTTCACTCTGTAGATCCATCCACCTCCCCAGAGCTGACTCAGACTTTATGGCCGAGTTGTACATATGTCCTGCATCTTTATCCAATCATCTGTTGTTGGGCATCTGTGTATTGTACATAGTGATGCTATGAACATCCATTCGTAGTATCAACAGCTAATGTCTTGGGTATTTAATACATATGGGACCCTGTGAATTGTGTTCTACGAAGCCAGTTGTTACAAACAGGTACCCTAAGAGATGGCTTTTATCACTATGTTCAGTTTTAGGATAAGATAAATGTGCAGGAAGGAGGACTAGCTACTTGTCAAAGACCAGAGAGTCAGAGACAGGTTGGCATCTGAAATCACTTTCTGGCATCAAGGTCTGAGCACTGAAACCTCCACAGGACACTGATTCCTAAACATCTCGACTTCCTCCCTCAAGTGATTATGTACAACTTTCTTTTTCTTCTTTCAAAAAGGAGACTGAGACATATTGAACAGGGCATATGTTGTTGTAAAGGATTTAAATTCAGTGAACTGCTACCAAGAATGCTGGCAGCTCTAGAGGATTGGAATCACTAAGATACAGAGATGTCGGTAGAGATGGAGAAATTTATTATAAGTTGACTCATGATTACAGAGGCTGTGAAGCCATCAGATCTGTGGTCAGCCAGCTGGGGACTCAGGGGCCCCAAGGGTGTGAATTCCGTTCTGGAGGCCAGCGGCCTCAAGACTCAGAAGGAGCTGATGCTTCCTTTCAAGAGTGAGGATAGGAAGGAAGCTGATGTCCCAGTGTGAAAGCCGCCGGGCAAGATGTGTTCCGTCTTGCTTATAAGACGCTTAGCCTTTTCGACTTCCTCGGGCCTCTGACCTGTTGGAAGAGGCCCACCCCCTCCAGGGAGGGCCGCCTGCTCTCCTGGTCCGCCTGTTCCAGTGTCACCTCAGCCAGGAGCATCCTCACAGCCGCACTCAGAATGAAGTCAGGTCCAAGTCTGTGCATCCTGTGACGCAGTCACACAGACGCATAGACCTCACCATCACAGGAGGGTTCCGCTTCAGCTGGTATAGCCTACTCTGGGGTGTCTCTCTAGGTTTTGTACTACTTAGCTCTTTGTATATGAACTGACACATTGTGGGCAGAATTAAGTTTTTGCTTTGTTTTATTTTTCATGGAGGTGACCTTAAATATTCTTTTAGTCCTTGTGCAAATTAAATGCCACTTTAAAAATATTTCATTGGAGCAATCATTGTGAAACTTTAATCCTAAAATGATCTCTCTTATTATTTAAGCCCTCTGTGGAGGATACATCCATGGAAAGAGTGGAACAGTTCTTTCTCCTGGGTTTCCAGATTTTTACCCAAACTCTCTAAACTGTACATGGACCATTGAGGTGTCTCATGGAAAGGGTAAGAATATTACAGATTTCAAAAATATAAAATAATTAACTACATCAAACATGGGAACAAAAAATATTGATGTGTGAGTAAGTAAGATAACTAATTTACTCATATATGTTTTGATTACTAACTGATTTTTAATAAGATTCTAGAAGAAAAATAATCTTTAAATTATTGGTACATTCAAGCATAAGTTGATTCCTTATTTTACTCTCTATTGATCAGATAACTTGAATTTATGCCTGTAAACATAAGCTTGAAAATCTGGTGCAATGCTAAAGAAAAGAGGCATGCATTATACAAAATGTGAATAACACTTAAATAAAAGGAGAAAAATAATTATCTAACTTCTCATTTCCATGATAAATCTAAGCCCCATTCTTGTACTTGCCATGTGTTCTAACTCTGATGAGTATTATTACACATAATGAGTAATTGTATGTTATGGAGAACTTGGCTTTGAAGGAAATTGAAAAAGAAAAAAAAGAATAAGCAAGTTATGAGTGACCAGGGTTTTGTAATCATAAAAATAAATATTTTTATTAAAAAGATCTGTTCATGGTTAATTATATTCACTATGTATAGGAATTCAGAAATAATACTTTGTGGGTATAGCTACTAGGGGATCATGTGCCCAAAGAGCCACATGAAACTAGGATTTCACAACTGTCTTCCCTCCGTTGTGTAAGTTTCTATATTAAACCTCTAAGCCTGGTGTTTCTGAAGGACATGTTTACTATAAATGGGAAAATAATGGTCCTTGTCTCCTCAGTCACAATGCTTGTACTGAGGGGCTCTGCACAGTCCACTGAACCCTCCTGCCGAGTTTAGTTATATATTTATGTCAGAACCTGCATCCGTAGCTCTCTGTGTATCCATGTGTCTAATCTGTGTCTGTATCTATATCTATATATGCCTAAAAGAGAGAAGAAGGAATAAACAGCAAAACCAAATGTTTCAGTGTATATAGGTATAGATATAGACACAGATTATCCATTCTCTGTACTTTTCTTTCAAACTTCATAATTCAGATTGCATTATAAGATTGATTTTGATTCAAGACTTTGATGCCTAGAAGGAATTCTTTCCCCAATTATGATTCAAGACTTTGATGCCTAGAAGGAATTCTTTCCCCAATTATTGATTCTATCAATACCCCCTTACTCCCTTCTCTGCTCTTTCTCTCTCTGTCTCTCTCTCTCCCACTCACCATCTGCATCTCTGTCTCTCTGTCTCTGTCTCTCTCTCTCCCTGTCTCTCTGTGTTCCTCACACTGACTCCATCTCTCTCTCTCTCTCTCTGTCTCCCTCTCACTGACTCCATCTCCCTTTCTGTCTCCCTCTCACTGACTCCATCTCTCTCTCTGTCTCCCTCTCACTGACTCCATCTCTCTCTCTCTGTCTCCCTCTCACTGACTCCATCTCCCTTTCTGTCTCCCTCTCACTGACTCCATCTCTCTCTCTCTGTCTCCCTCTCACTGACTTCATCTCTCTTTCTCTCTCACTGACTCCATCTCTGTTTCTCTCTGTCTCCCTCTGACTATCTCTCTCTGTCTATCTGTGTCTCTGTCTGTCTCCCCCTCACTGACTCCATCTCTGTCTCTCTCTGTCTTCCTCTCACTGACTCCATCTCTGTCTCTCTCTGTCTTCCTCTCACTGACTCCATCTCTGTCTCTCTCTGTCTCCCTCTCACTGACTCCATCTCTCTCTCTCTGTCTCCCTCTCACTGACTCCATCTCTCTCTCTCTCTCACTGACTCCATCTCTGTTTCTCTCTGTCTCCCTCTGACTATCTCTCTCTGTCTATCTGTGTCTCTCTCTGTCTCCCCCTCACTGACTCCATCTCTGTCTCTCTCTGTCTTCCTCTCACTGACTCCATCTCTGTCTCTCTCTGTCTCCCTCTCACTGACTCCATCTCTCTCTCTCTCTCACTGACTCCATCTCTGTTTCTCTCTGTCTCCCTCTGACTATCTCTCTCTGTCTATCTGTGTCTCTCTCTGTCTCCCCTTCACTGACTCCATCTCTGTCTCTCTCTGTCTTCCTCTCACTGACTCCATCTCTCTCTGTCTCCCTCTGACTATCTCTCTCTATCTATGTCTCTCTCTGTCTCCCCCTCACTGACTCCATCTCTGTCTCTCTCTGTCTTCCTCTCACTGACTCCATCTCTGTCTCTCTCTGTCTCCCTCTCACTGACTCCATCTCTGTCTCTCTCTGTCTCCCTCTCACTGACTCCATCTCTGTCTCTCTCTGTCTCCCTCTCACTGACTCCATCTCTCTCTGTCTCCCTCTGACTATCTCTCTCTGTCTCCCCCTCACTGACTCCGTCTCTGTCTCTCAGGAGTCCAGATGATCTTCCACACCTTTCACTTGGAGAGTTCCCACGACTACCTGCTGATCACCGAGGACGGGAGCTTCTCGGAGCCAGTGGCCAGGCTCACGGGCTCGGTGCTGCCTCACACCATCAAGGCGGGTTTGTTTGGAAACTTCACAGCCCAACTTCGGTTTATATCAGACTTTTCCATTTCCTACGAGGGCTTCAACATCACATTTTCAGGTACTTTGCAGTCTTATCTTCTTTGGCAGTAATCGTACCATTGCAAAGAAGTGCACACGTGTGTGTGTGTGTGTGTGTGTGTGTGTTTACAGGTAAACAGCTGACCAGTGGGAAGGTCTAGTTGGTGTGGAGGAGGAGGTGAGACCCAGGGGCAGCTGCCTGGCAGCCCCAAGACATTGTTTGCCACACGGTCAATTGTAAATTCTCATCCCCGCAAATTTGCTAATATCACTGCCTTCTCAGTGTCTTGTCATCAGTGCTATCAAAACCTCTGAGGACACTGTCCTTACTGGGGAATGTGCTCAGAATTCACTGTGGTCTTGTTTTGGGTCCTACCTTCCAGGAGACTCAGTACTTGTGATGAGAGCCACCTTTAGGATGAAAAAAATGTGACCATGTGCAATCGAGGATGAACTTCTTATTGACCTTAATGCCATCATTAAAGCAACAAAACCATACTCCAAAATTAGGAAACATTTTCACCTTTATTATAAAATATAGATAATACTTGTGAGAGGTTTATGTAGTTTCAGCCATTGTCTGTATGTGTTAAATTACTAAGAATGGTATTAATATATTTTTATAAGTGAGAAAAACCAGTACAGACAGTTAACTGGTCAAACATGTGGGGAATAATTTTAATCACTTAAACAGTGTTCCACAAGCATTAGGGTCAGATGTCCTGCCGGGTCTCAGACACACCCCAGATGACAGAGGCAATCACTGCTCTGAGATGACTGACCAGTGTAAACAATTACATTAATTTCCATTTGTGTATCTGATGCTTTGGCAAAGAAAGTGGTTTCCCACATCATGTTTCACTGCCCAGAGCTAAAGTAGTTTTCATAAGGTGGTCTCTGAGTCCTATAATTACAAATAGTTCCTTCTATTTTTATTGTTCCAGTTAATTCCCTAATAATTTTTGATGCCACTCATCAGATTCTTTGCTAAAATATCTGAATATTTATGTTATCTCCTTTTCTGAGGCTAAAACTCTTTGTAGAAGTATTTCCTTGTTCCTCTTTCACATCAAGACAATTCCAGTCCAATATCTTACACATAGTAGGAATTAGTTAAGTTGTCAATAAACACTTACTAAATATCACATGATCATTAAAATATATAAAATGAAAGAAATATATAAAATGAAATATATAAAAGCTTTTTTAGCTTTATTGAAGTATGATTTTCAAATTGAAATATTGTTTTGTTTTGTTTTTTAAAAAGACTTCTTAGGGATTTTAAGATGCTCTGAATCATTTTCTACTCCCTGTAATTATGACCAGTTGCCATTTATCTTAATCTGACTTTGTTGATTTTTCCTGTTATTTCACTGCATTAATGGAGCTTTCCAGACAGGCTCAGACTACTTGGTATCTTCAAAATTTGCTGCAATCAATGGTAATCATGGAATTGGCCACTTTCTATATCAAAGACTTAAATCTTCCTAACGCTAATACCTAAATATGTCTCTCTGTGTGTTCTCCCAGGGTGGATCTCAATTAGAATCGCTGTGAGACTATCACTCCACTCTCTTCCTCCTTTCATCATGATCCAAAATGAATTTAAGCAGAATACTCCAAAGACAGAAATTGGTAGTGGTGCCAGTCTGTGGATCTGTGCTGTAGATGTTTCTCAGGAGTCTGTGCAACCTCTATCCATTTTGCACCATCTCTTTCTTAGTTCCATCACTCCCCACACACAGCCACAAGTGACACAGCTACAAGGAGGCTTTTGACTCCAGGAGTCAGAAGGCAGGTGTGAAGTTGGCTGTCTCCTTCCATAAACTCCCTCAGCAACAAAGCAAGAGAACAAGAACAACACACACTTTCCTTGTCTTTGTAGCTCTTTGGGGGCAGTTTTAAAGTATTTTTAAATTTTAAGACCAAAGTGGTAACACTTTTTGAGCATGTGTAACAATTCATTTGCACACCACCCATAGAACGCAGTCTATAAGACTTGCACAAGGAGTCATGTGTGTCTGTACTCTGTCACACATGTGCACTCAGACAGTCAGGCTAAGAACAAAATACACTGAAACCAGGCTGTGAATGATTGCCAGTGACACTAGCACAATGGAGTTTATTTTTTCTGCCCAAAGAAGTAACAATTTTATTGTGCAAATGAAACATTTGCTCATCTGAGGATTTTTCAAATATTTGTTCCAAATCGGTATGCTCTTATATCTGGACTTTTTATTCCTTGTTAGTCTGGTTTATTTCTGTCTTTTTTAGAAAGTTTATTGAAGTGACTTCTTAGAAGGCTCAGTGGGTAAAGAATCTGTCTGCTAATGCAGGAGACACAAGAGACCTGAGTTTGATACCTGAGTTGTAAAGATCCCCTGGAGAAGGGAATGTCTTCCCACTCCAGCATTCTTGCTTGAAGAGTCCCATGGACAGGAGAGCCTGGTGGGCTACTGTCCATGGGGTCACAAAGAGCAGAACACACCTGAGCGCATATGCACACACAGACATTAAAGGATCATTTGACAATTTTGTCTCCCAGTCCCTGCAGATAGTGAAGGGATATTGGGAGAGAAGAACTCAGATAAGAAGTCATGTTTGTATATACTGTATCACACATGCAGTTTGTCTATACTGTGTCACACATTATCTGTCCCTGCAGATAATGAAGGGGTATTGGGAGAGAAGAACTCAGTAGTCCAGAATGTTTAGGTCAGGCTGTCTACCTTCCCGGATCCATCTGCTCTACCTTGAACATCCATTTCTGACCGTTCACTGTGTCTACTTACTATTCCAACATCCCTTCACCAGGTCTCCTATGATTCTGCCTTCTGAATGCCAACTTTCTGTGAGTTCACATAATTTCCTGGTCATTCTCTTCCAAAGATGAGAATATGGGCAGCTCAGTGCCTTTACAGATGTGGTTTCCTCTTCATTCAAAGCCTTTCTTCATCCCTCACCAGGCAAATTCCTCCCTCCAGAGGTCCAGTACTATCTGTTCTTCTTCCTAGGAGGTCTACCTTTATGTTTTGGTATGACAAGTAAATATTTATTGGGTTGAATTAAATGATATTACTTTTCCCCTTGCTGGGTCATATTAAAAATAAGTCAAATTAATGATCATATTTCCAGAGTGACCAGAGTAGTTTGAATATGTTAGAGATCCAGAACAGAGTTTGTACCTAAATGAAAAACAGGACAAAGATACTCTGGCCAGCATGGCACTCATGTGTTGACCAGTAAGTTGGGTGAGACAGGGGAAAATGGGGAAAGAGATTTTTTCTTATGAGGTAAGGACACCAGTGGTAAAGCTTGTGGGTGATGGGAGTAGAAAACATGGATTAAAATTGAGAAATACTGGGGGAATGATAGTTGAATTTATTATGTTTATTGAGAATACAGAATCCACAGTTAAGAGAGCTGGAAATCAGGAAGGGGAGGCAATTTGTTTTCAGAAGAACCAGCACACTTTCCCCACCACCTTAGGAAAACCTGTCTTTTGTCTGCCCTTCATTGGGATGATAATGCTCATTCTTTAACTGTCACATTAACTTCTTTGAAACTCTTTCTGTCATTCAAATCCCTGATGGTGATCACCATTTGATCCTATCTGACTAAGCACTGGGCATTAGACACTGAAGCATTGGGCATTAGACAAGAAGGAGAAAAATGGTCTGAAGGATGGATCTTGAGACCAGTGACACTGCAGATGCAACTGTACTGTTATAATTGAGGCTTGAAAGAATCAACACCATAGAATGAGACAAATATAAAGTGTTATTAACACTGGTATTTTGTACATTTAATCCCCAAATGCAGCAAAACACCAGACATTAATCTTTTTTTTCTTGATTACTAAATTAGCACCTTCTTCCTTTGCAGAAATTTCCAGCAGTTTCCAGAACATTTTCTATTGCATTTCAATAAAACATGGCTTAAAATTTAAACATAGGCAGGTTACAGTTTTGCTGTTCCATAGTGAGGTGTATTTTAGGGTTGGAATTGGTTATGATAAATTTTCCACCAGCAAAACCCTGTGATGTTGCTCTTAGTTTCTGCTCCACTGGGTCTTGTTTATCCAAATCACCTTTAAGAAGAGGACAGTAACTGACTTCCACAATTAGATGTGTCACTAGATAAGTCCATACTGTTAAAGTGACAGTTCTAAATGGATCAGGTTATTATAATGTTATACGTCTATTTTTTTTTAATATTTACTTATTTGCCTGCACTGGGTCTTAGTTGCAGCATGCAAACTCTTAGTTGCAGCATGTGAGATCTAATTTCCTGACCAGGGATTGAGCCTGGGCACCCTGCTTTGGGAGCACAGTATCTCAGCTACTGGACCACCAGGGATGTCCCTACATCTACATTTTTAAATACTATAAGTTATTCCATTTGTCATGTGAAAACCCAAAGTACAAAGAACAGCAATCCATGTGACAGTCACAGCAGAGTCTGGGGAAAACAATATATGTCTAGTGGTTTACTTTTTAAAAAATAATAGCAGCTTTTGATTCTTGCTAAGTGATGTTTGAGTGTTTACACAGATTCCCACATGTGCTCTGTCCCTTCCTGTCTCAGAATACGATCTCGAGCCGTGCGATGACCCTGGCGTCCCTGCCTTCAGCAGAAGAATTGGCTTTCACTTCGGAGTCGGGGATGCACTAACCTTCTCCTGCTTCCCGGGTTACCGCTTAGAAGGTGCTACCCAGCTCACGTGCCTGGGTGGGGGTCGTCGTGTGTGGAGCGCACCTCTGCCAAGGTGTGTGGGTAGGTGGTCACACGCTTTCATTTCATTCATCCAGGGGGCAGGGCGTGGTGCAGTCAGTGCGCAGGGTCCCCGGGCCAGGGAGGGGTGAGTGCCAGCCGCTGGGCTGGACAGAGGCCACTCCACTTCCCAGGGCAGGGGTACAGGATCGCCTCTGGGCTCTGGTTGCCTCATTGATAAAGCCAGCCCCTTCCAGCTCTAAAACCTCATGACTGAATGGGGGGGGGAAGCTAAATCCTGTGTCAAGTGTAGTAAGGAGGAAGAATATATATATATATATATAAACATATATACTATGTACCTGGGACAAAAGAAAGAGCAAAAGCTAGAAGCCAGGCTGTATTACCACAACCTTGACAATTCTGTTGGTTAAAAGCAGTGAGCCTCTCCTGGTGACAATTTAAAGTACTGGTTTTCTTGTTTCTTTTTTTTTTCATTTATTTTTATTAGTTGGAGGCTAATTACTTTACAATATTGTAGTGGTTTTTGTCATACATTGACATGAATTAGCCATGGATTTACATGTATTCCCCATCCCGATTCCCCCTCCCACCTCCCTCTCCACCCGATCCCTCTGGGTCTTCCCAGTGCACCAGGTCCTAGCACTTGTCTCATGCATCCAGCCTGGGCTGGTGATCTGTTTGTCTTGTTTCTTTACACTCTTATTAGAAGATTGTGCATACTCCGGCAAAGTGGGCGTGCTAGCAGTTGTAATGCTGGATTAGCTTTCTCCCTGTGTTCTCGAGGAATTCAAGCGATCATTCTGTAGAGCTGTATGAACCTTTATTTAGGTATTTGGAACGAGGCATTGTGCTGAGACTGTGGAATCAGGATGCCCATTCCGTGGGGTGTGTTTGTTGCCAGCCTGAGCCTGTGCCGCTGTGAGGAGCTCAGCAGAGAATCGATCTGGTGGCTCAGAGTTTAAACACGGAAGCTTGGCTGAAGGTCTGGCCAGTCTAGCCATTGGCTCCGGGGCCATGTCTGGGGCCTGCCCTCTGCAGTGCTGCTCAGCATGAGAAGAGCTTGCAGCCTGTCCTTTAGAGCTACCAAGCATGGCTAAGGTCACAGCATTATGGCATCTGTCTAGTGAGGACCCTCGGACCCCTTAACTGTGAGCCTTCTGAGTTCTTCAGCAGCCCTGGCACCCTCCACGCACCTCTTACCAGCTGATACACTAGAGCCTGGTGGGCAAGCTGTGAAACTGAAATTTCATAATAAAAATGCTGAATTGTTAACTTAGTAGACCATACTTTTCCCAAAGCACAGAATCTCTTTAATTATTTAGAAATATTATGTGATTCAAAAGTCAATACTGTCTTTTTGGTGTCAATGTGGCATAGACAGTAGGGTAGTGAGGACTTTAATATAGACAAATGAACATGAAGTGTATCATCTCTGCTTCCTGCCGGGGTGCATATCTGACCTTTCTATGATCTGGCTTTCTCCTAAAACAGTAGTTCTCACTTTTTTTTAAGTTATGGATCTTATTTGAGAATTGGATGCCAATTTTGAACATGGCCTAAAGAAAAAATGAATACTTTCTAAGAAAATAATTTTCTAGATGATCCTAGATGTTCCCAGACTTGCCTAGAATCCATTTACCCCAAATTAGAAATTACTGAACAAGATAGTTAAAATCTGGAGAAAAAACTCCCAACCCAATGAAGTTGAAGATTTATTCCCCATATGTAACATTGTCTATCAGTTATAATATTCTATTTGCATTTATTCTATTTTATCTAGATCCATTCTTGTTATCTGGGTTTTTGCATTGTTGCCTTAAATGTAAAATGAGGAGCAACTAGGGTTGAAATAATAGTTAATATTTCTAGACCAGCACAGCTCTGAACTTTTTGCATGTGTCAAATCCATTCTACAGATGGGAACACTAAGAACCTAAGACCTTTGCCCACCAGCACAGTCAGCAAGATTCCAACCCTAGGCCTTTCACCCCAGCACTGAGACAGCTCAGTGGCTTGGGCTGAGGCTGTTCTATATTTTTCCTCTTGTGCTTTACCAGCCGCTCCCCAAATTTCCTTCCAGCATCTGGCCACAAGAGACCTTTGAATAACCATGTTATTGTTCAGTCGATAAGTCATGTCCAACTCTTGTGACTGAATTAAACACTACAGCTTGCCAGGCTTCCCTGTCCTTCACTATCTCCTGGATTTGCTCAAAATCTCGTTCACAGAGTCAATGATGCCATCCAACCATCTCATCCTCTGTCACCCCCTTCTTCTCCTGCCCTCAATCTTTCCCAGCATCAGGGTCTTTTCCAATGATCCGGCTCTTTGCATCAGATCAGCAAAGTTTTGGAGCTTTAGCTTCAGCATCAGTTCAGTTCAGTTCAGTTCAGTCACTCAGTTGTATCCAACTCTTTGTGACCCCATGGACTATAGCACACCAGGCCTCTCTGTCCACCACCAACTCCCAGAGTTTACTTAAACTCATGCCCATTGAGTCAGTGATGCCATCCAAACATCTCCTCCTCTGTCGTCCCCTTCTCCTCCTGCCCCCAATCTTTTCCAGCATCAGGGTCTTCTCTAATGAGTCAGTTATTCGCATCAGGTGGCCAAAGTATTGGAGTTTCAGCTTCAACATCAGTCCTTCCAATGAATCTTCAGGATTGATTTCCTTTAAGATTGACTGGTCTGATCTTGCTGTCCAAAGGGACTCTCAAGAATCTTCTCCAGCACCACAGTTTGAAATCATCAGTTCTTTGGCACTTACCCTTTTTTATGGTCCAGCTTTCACAATCATACATGATTACTGGAAAAACCATAGCTTGGACTATGCAAACTTCTGTCAGCAAAGTGATGTCTCTGGTTTTTAACATGCTGTCTAGCTTTGGCACAGCTTTTCTTCCAAGAAGTAAGCATCTTTTAATTGCATGGCTTCGGCTATCATTTACAGTGATATTGGAGCCCAAGAAAATAAAGTCTGTCACTATTTCTACCTTTTCCCCATCTATTTTCCATGAAGTGATGGGACCAGATGCCATGATCTTAGTTTTTTGAATGTTGAATTTTAAGCCAGCTTTTTCACTCTCCTCTTTCACCTTCATCAAGAGACTTTTTAGTTCCTTTTCACATTTTGCCTTTAGAGTGGTATTATCTGCATATATGAGGTTGTTGATATTTTTCCTGGCTATCTTGATTCCAACTTGTGCTTCATCTAGCCCAGCATTTCACTTGATATGCTCTGCATATAAGTTAAATAAGCAGGGTGACGATACGCAACCTTGTTGTACTCCTTTAACAATGTTGAACCAGTCTATTGTTCCATCTTTGGTTCTAACTATTGCTTCTTATCCTGCTTGCATACAGGTTTCTCAGGAGACAGGTAAGGTGGTCTGGTATTCCCATCTCTTTATGAATTTCCCATAGTTTGTTGTGATCCACACAAAGGCTTTAGCATAGTCAATGAAGCAGATTATTTTTTTTAATCCCCTTGCTTTTTCTATGATCCAGCAAAGGTTGGCAATTTGATCTCTGGTTTGTCTGCCTTTTCTAAACCAAGTTTGTACATCTGGAAGTTCTAAGGTCATGTACTGCTAAAGCCTATCTTAAAGGATTTTGAACATTACCTTGCTAGCGTATGAAATGAGTGCAATTGTATAGCGGTTTTAACATTATCTGGCACTGCCTTTGTTTGGGATTGGAGTGAAAACTGATGTTTTCCAGTCCATGGCCACTACTAAGTTTTTCAAATTTGCCCACATACTGAGTGCAGCACTTTAACAGCATCATCTTTCAGGACTTGAAATAACTCAGCTGGAATTCCATCACCTCCACTAATTTTGTTTGTAGTAATGCATACTAAGTCTCAATTGTCTTCACATTCCAGAATGTCTGATTTTAGGTGAGTGACCACACCATCTTGGTTATCCAGGTCATTAAGACCTTTTTTGTATAGTTCTGTGTTTCATTGCCACCTCTTCTTAGTATCTTCTGCTTCTGTTAGGTCTGTACCATTTCTGTCCTGCACTGTGCCCTTCTTCACATGAAATGTTGTCTTGAAATCTACACTTTTCTTGCACAGATGTCTAGTCTTTCCCATTCTGTTGTTTTCCTCTGCTTCTTTGTGTTGCTCATTTAAAAAGACTTATATCTCCTTGCTATTCTCTGAAACTCTGCATTCAGTTGGGCATATCTTTCTCTTTCTCTTTTGCCGTTTGCTTCTCTTTTCTCGGCTATTTGTAAGGTCTCCTCAGACAACCACTTTGCATTCTTACATTTCTTCTACTTTGAGATGGTTTTGCTCACTGCCTCCTGTATAATGTTATAGATGACCTTCCATAGTTCTTCAGGCACTTCTGTCCACCATATCTAATCCCTTGAATCTATTTGTCACCTCCGCTGTATAATCATAAGGAATTGTATTTAGGTCATACCTGAATGGACTATGTTTTCCCTACTTTCTTCAATTTAAGCCTGAATTTTAAGCAATAAGGAGTTCATGATCTAAGCCACAGTCAGTTCCAGGTCTTGGTTTTGCTGACTGTATAGAACTTCTCCATCTTTGGCTGCAAAGAACAGACTCAATCTGACTAACCATATTTCCGAGGGCACTAAAACCTAGCAGGTAACCCACGTGGCACCTGGGAGTTCTCCTCCCTCCCTTCCCCTCATTCTCCACATCCAAATAGTGGTAGTTCTGAAGAGTCTGCTTCCCCCAGGGCTCCTCTCTGCCTGGCCTAGAGAAGCTTCACCTTCACATCCTGACGATGCCCCTGCCTCCAGGACTGCCGCCCGAGCGGCCGCAGCCCCGAAGTGATCTGTCTGAATTCAGAGCCTCCCCCATCTGTCGCTTCACAGAACTTGAGGCAGCCTGCAGAAGGGTCAGTGTTATTCACTGGCAGACCCTGGGACTTCCCACCCAGCTCACTCGTGTATTTAAGCTTGGGCACACACCAACAGTCCCGTACACACTGCACAAGAAGCGGACTTGCCTGGTTCTCTTACCTGCAGGCCTCTCTCTTCATCGCTCCTTACTCATAGCGTGCACCCCCTTTTCTAGACTGCCCCTCCTCATTTTGAACCCCCTCCATGTGGCTCTCTCCACCCTGCTTATTCCCCGGCCGGAGAGGGACCCTCCGGGATCACCATCTGAGCCAGTAAACCTGTCTTCTTATCTCTGTCTCCCCCGCTAGGCCGACCTTTTCTTTACAGTGGGGGCTGCCTTAGCCAAGATTCAGCTCTGGGCCTTACTCAGTAAATGTTTGTCAAGCAATCATGATTTCTTTCAGAGGTGCCTATCTTGATCTCACAGTTTGATTCGTTGGCACTCTGTGTCTATCTTTTTTCCTTCAAAATCATAGAAATAAGAATAGCTTATCCCTAGACCAGAGTTGCAGATCCATTCTGAAGATCACAGCCTGGAGGAAGGCCAAGTGAGTTATGAGCACGCTGCTTCACCTTTCCCTAATAAACGCCTGGTTGTAAACAGAACTTTGAGTGGACACTAGACTGAGAACTGCCCTGACCTGCATCCCTTATGTGAAGAAGTGTCACTGTGAGATTAGGAGGCACTGTGGGCTTCAGTAGTGTTTAGGGGAGCAAGTCTTTAGCAACAGAATTTGAATCCAGATCAGTGTAAGTAGGCAGATTGCATGCATGCTCAGTCATTCAATCATACCTGACTCTTTGAGACCTGGTGGAGCCTGCCAGGCTCCTCTTTCCATGGGATTCTCCAGGCAGGGATCCTGGAGTGAGTTGCCATTTCAGCATATATTTTCACCTATTATGTTACTATCAAATAGTAAATTAATATCCCTGAGAAAGTATCTGTTAATATTGAATATTAATACTTACAGACAATATGGTTAGTGCTCTGGGTGTGGACTTCCAGCTTCCAAAGCTGTGAGAAATACTGATTAATGTTGTCCTTTAAGCCTCTCATCTCTTCTGTTACATCACCCAGAACTGCTAAGACAGCCTGCACAGGTAAATGCTTTTGTACAGAAGAATTAACTGAAAAATCAATTGACTCCTTTCTATTTTTTCCAGTTACTTTTATAAGTTTAGTTCCATTACAGAACTCTAAATGACAATTCAATTTTAATTACAGTTTCAAAAGGTTCTTTATTAAAAAAAAAGCCAATGATTCATTTTATGGGAAATTATATTCTTTCATCTTAAAGTCATTTTAAATGGCTTATGGAAAGAACTTAAAATTGACACATTTAATTGCTCCAGGAATGGAGATTTGCAATGGATGTCTGAAATCAAGTTCAAAGAATTTCTGAAATTCTGATGACTTGCATTCTTTAAGTTTCTGAGCACCTGCTTTTTTTTTTACTGTTTGTCATATTTCACTGAATTATCTCCTATGGGACAGTCTTGGGCTTTGGAGCGCTTACTCAGTCTTCTTTACACATTCCAGTTCTTTCATTTGAAAATCATGTTGCATCTGTCTTTGTGCACTAGGACATTCAATTGGAAATAAACTTAAGTCATTAGCCTGCCTCACAAATAAGATCCTGGTGCAGACGTTCCTGTTCCATGGCAGGATATTTTGTGGAGTGTTAAGATGCTCAATCATGACAGCCTCATGTTCCTACTTTTTTTGAGTCATATATTCACATGTGTTTCTCGTGGGTTTCTTAACATCTGTAAGCATAATTAATAATAAATACTGTACTTTGACAACATAGTGTGGTTGTTACTAGACCACCTGGGGTTCAAAGCCCAGCTCTGTCAACAGCCCACCCTGCCCCATGTGATCTTGAGCAGGTTAATTAACCTGCCTCAGCTTCCTCATCTGTAAAATGGACTTATCATTGATACTGACTTCATGGAATTGTTTTCTTTATTTAATGATATAATACTTATAAAAATGCCTTCAGTTCAAGTGACAAATAGACCAAAAGAAGAATAGATTGTTGTACCCAGACAGGCAAAGTCTTATACTTTTTATCTACCCTTTTGTTGTTCAGTCGCTGAGTCATGTCCAGCTCTTTGCAACTCCTATGGACTGCAGCATACCAGGCTTCCCTGTCCTTCACTATATGCCAGAGCTTGCTCAGACTCACATCCATTGAGTCAGTGATGCCATCCAACCATAGCATCCTTTGTCTTACCCTTCCCCTCCTGCCTTCAGTCTTTTCCAGCATCATAAGCACTTATTTGATCTTCCAGTGTGTTCCTCTAGACTGGGAATTCTAGAATTTGTTTACACGTCCATTTTCACACTGTGACTCTTTCCTTTAGAATCTTTGGATTCACTGTTTTCTTTTAGTGTGTGTCTTCTTTTCCAAACAGCCATCTATCAGGTCACCTCTGTGCTCCAAGCTTTCCAGGGATCCTGGTTCCATGACCCCCAGATACCCCCTTCCATCCGGCCCAGTCTGTGTTTGCAGCCAGATCTAAGTTTTCCCAAATGTTCTCCTGCTTCAGTCTTGCCCATGAGGCCCATAAAGCCACTTGTGCTTCTTTCTTAACCGTTTTCTCCCCCATTTCCCATAAAACCGCCCTTTATGTCCTTTTGGAGGGAAAGGTAAGGGCAGGGGAACCAAGTTCTCCTGTGTTTTTGCCCTGATTCTCTTCCTGACCGTCATATGTGGGGACATCCTGAGATTCAAGGGCACAAATCGTCTGGAGCTGACCCTGAATCTCCAGCTTTTTCCTTCCATCAGCAGGCCAGGGAAGCCCCACTCCTGTACAGAGGAGGACTTCAGTTATTGTCAGAGAGAGACTGGGCAGTCAGAGATTTATGATTATGAAGACAGGCATGCCTGGGACATTGCCAAAGCTGTGTGACCCTCAGGAGGCCCCCCTTAAACTGAACCCTGCCCCCTCTCGCCCCCATTACGTGCAGGCATTTTACTTATTTTCAGTTTCCAATTTGGTCATTACTCTTCACACTCAGGCTTGTTTTGTTGGAATTTTAAAAATCACTGTGCTTATCACATAGTGTGGCTGATAAGTTAGTTCATGCAGAGTCACATGGAGCGTTCTTGTCACACAAGCTTACACACACACACACACACACACACGCAAACACACACATGGACACTCAGGGCAATTTTATCTTGTTATGGTTGTTTTAGACACTTAAGAGTTTTAGAGGTTAGCCTAACACATTCACTTTCACTGGTGAGGAAACGGGTACTGAGAGTCTAGGTGACTTTCTCTGAGTTGGCAGAAAGTTGAGGGCTATATTTGTTTTCATGTTTACTCTAATATAAGTTCTGTATGCAAATTTGGGTCTGGAGGTGAACTTCCCTCTCCTTTCATCAGGAAAAGGGGAAAAGAATGTGTTTTCCGCCATCAAAGGGACTTCTGTCCCAAGGCAGTCAGACAGGCTCAGGACTGTGACACAGCAGTGGGGGACTCAGTGGTCTGGTCCATGGTGAAAATCCCCTTTAAGTGCATCCAGGCTGAGGCCACGGAATGCCGGCAGGGGGAATTGCGTGGACATTGCTGTGGAGTCAGCACATTGGGGTCGGCAGGGGCACTTCACGAGGCAGAGCTGGGGCTCAGAGAGGCGACCACCCAGGGGTCAGTCAGAGTGCTCAGGCTTATCTGTTTCACCTTAGAACTCTTTGCAGGATAGGAGGAAGAGGCAATCTACTAAAAGAAACAAGAAAATCTTGAAAATGGGATGAATGGGGGTATCTTTACTGACCAGTTGGTAAAACAGTGAAAAGAAGTCATTAGTCTATAAAAGCAATGTGTTAACAGTAGACATACATTGAGAGAGAAGAGGGCTGCCATGATTTTAAAGTTTTTATTTATTAAAATCAGTAATTCCACTTTTGAATCCTCTTTCTTTTTTTTTAATGTCCTGTTTATTTTAGCTGAATGTGGAGCAAGTGTCAAAGGAAATGAAGGAACGTTACTGTCTCCAAATTTCCCGTCAAACTATGATAATAACCATGAATGTATCTATAAAATTGAAACGGAAGCTGGCAAGGGGATCCATCTCAGAGCACGAAGCTTTCAGCTGTTTGAAGGAGATATTCTGAAGGTAAAAATAATTTTCTTTAATAGAACTCCATCTTTCCTTCGCAAGGAATAAATAGGATCTTGATCCAGCTATATCATAGATATAGATATATACCTATATCTTTATATATACACATTTTTCCCAATTTGCTTGCCCAACTGGTTTGAGATAGTGGTCTCTATCATCATGTGTATGTGGACTTTAAAATACCTCAGTCTGTAATGCTGGATCTGAAGTGCATTAGCTGTGTATATTAGGCATATTTTTTAAAGATTTTTAAACCTTAGTTTTCTTATACATAAAAGCATGCAATGGTACCTACCTTTTCTGTGATGTTTTGAGGATTAAATAATATAATATAGATATATATTTGTAGCCTTGTGCCTAGCTCACACTAGGAGTTGTATTAGTAAAATCTTGCAGGATCCTCAGACCAACCCTTTCTGCGGTCCCTCTTGATCTGCAAATGTGGTCACAACAGAGCATCCTTCAGAGCTCGAAGGATCTTGATGTGACAGTGGAAACAAACATGGCCACTGTTCTGGGACCACAAAGCCGGGTGTATGTGGAGAAGCTACACCAGGAGGAGGCAGTCTCACACACAAGGCTGAGCTATATTCACAGAACTCTGGGGTGTCCGAGGCATGGGGCCAGCCACAAGGGTCAGTGAAGTAGGTGATTCTTAGCCTCAGAGCCTCGGGGAGCTGCTCTGGGGCAGGGGGCTGGGGGTTCAGACCTGCAAACCACTCACATTCCAGGTGGACTCAGGAAAATGGGCAGAGAAATGGACCCAGGGCACCAGGTCTTGCCTTGACCTAAAAATCTTAGCTCCAACTGCAAGTGCCACCAAGCTCCTTCTGAAATACTTCTCATACCTCCTGAAACTATGTCAGGAAACTGGGGACGTCCCTGGGTCTAGGGCCTGAGTAGTTGGCATTTGCAGCCTGAGCCTCAGAGAAAGAGAGTGGCTTTGAGCAGCAAAGACCACACTGGCCACCATCCAGCCTGTCCACAGCTGGTTCCAGGGGGACTGAGCACCCCGTCCACCGTCACAGCTGGTTTACAAGAGGGACACGTCTCATTCCCTTTCTAAAGTCCCAGGGTGCCCAGTCACATGTTCTTCTACGCAGATACACACAGCGTTCCAGCTCAGGGTCAGTTAACTTGACGCACTTGAAGCTGTGAGCATTGAGAAGCTATGCAAAGAGCCTGCTACAGGGTGGGCCCCAGTGCCCTCCAGGGGTGTTCCCTGTTTGCGTAGTGGATGAAGGGGATGCTGGCAGTTTCTATCATGTGCACATGTCTAGAGAAGTTTCCAGACGCAAGTGCTCCCTTCCTCCAAGTCCACCCTTGGCTACAGTTCTAGGTCATAGTCTAGAAGAGAGATTTTATTTTAGCTGTTCTTTCATTGTAATGGTCTTTCAAAAAAGCTCATGTTGGCAGCATGAGTCACTTTAATTAAGAAGTGATTTTTAGGTATGAACTAGAATATCCTCACTGACCTAGGAAAAGTTAAAGTTGAATCCTACAAAACTATTTTCTTTGCTAACCTCCCACTCAAGATGTCAGCAAATTTGGGAAATACAGCAGTGGTCACAGGACTGGAAAACATCAGTTTTCACTCCAATCCCAAAGAATGGCAATACCAGATAATATTCACACTACCATACAACTACACTCATTTCACACATTAGCAAAGCCATGCTCAAAATCCTTCAAGCTAGTCTTCAAAGTATGAATCAAGAGCTTCCAGATGTACAAGCTGGGTTCAGAAAAGGCAGAGGAAGCAGAGATCAAACTGCCAACATCCACTGGATCAAAGAAAAAGCAAGGAATTCCCCCAAAAAATCTACTTCTGCCTTATTGACTGCGCTAAAGCCTTTGACTGGGTGGATCACAACCAACTGTGAAAAGTTCTTAAAGAGATGGAACTATTAAACCCCCTTACCTGTCATAGCGTACAGTGAATGGTGCCGGATTCCTGATCTCCGAAAAAGTTTTAGCTTCAGGACCAGGGACCAGGCTTGATCACTCGAGAGCTTTTGTGTAGCAGAGTTTTATTAAAGTGTGTAAAGGGATAGAGAAAGCTTCTGCACAGACATGAGAAGGGGAACGGAGACTGCTCCCTCGCTAGTCTAAGCAATGGAGTTGTATACTTTTTTAAGTGGTTATTATAATAAATCAAAAGAATGTCTCAAAGTTGTAAAGATCTTACTAGACCCACTCCCATAATTTACATTTAAAGATGACAGAATTAGAACTAACAGTATAAAGATCTTACGGGACCCACTCCCATAATATACATTCTAAGATAAAAGGATTGGTCAGAAGGTTTTCAAGAAGGAGAAGCTGTCCCCAAGCAGGATACATCATTGTAATATAATCCTTGGTACAGAGTTTGAACTGAGTTGTTTGTTGTGTAATCATCAGTTCCAGGCTTAAAGGAAAAAAAAAAATTATGTGACTAAGACTAAGGAATGTAGAGGGGGAAAAGGCTTTTGTCCTTTCCTCCTCCTTGAGAATTCCAGGCCCCTATCTCCTCCTCCGGGACTCCGGATTTTTTATCAACCTGCCTAGGAATTGACTCTGTCACCTGTATCCTGAGAAACTTGTATGTGAGTCAACAAACAACCTTTAGAACCAGACATGGAAAAACAGACTGCTTCAAAATTGAGGAAGGTGTATGACAAGGCTGTATATTGTCACCCTGCTTATTTAACTTTCAATGTAGAGTACATCATGCAAAATGATGGGCTGGATGAATCACAAGCTGAAATTAAGATTGCGAAGAGAAATATCAACAGCCTCAGATAGGCAGATGATACCACTCTAATGACCAAAAGTAAAGAGGAACTGAAGAGCCACTTGCTGAGGGTGAAAGAGGAGAGTGAAAAAGCTGGCTTAAAACTCAACATTCAAAAAAACTAAGATCATGGCATCCATTCCTATCACTTCATGGCAAATATAAGGGGAAAAAGCGGAAACAGTGACAGATTTTATTTTCTGGGGCTCCAAAATCACTGCAGACTTTGACTTCAGCCACAAAATTAAAAGATGCTTGCTCCTTGGAAGAGGAGCTATAACAAACCTAGACAGCATATTCAAAAGTAGAGATATCACTTTGCCAATAAAGGTCCGTATAGTCAAAGCTATGGTTTCTCCAGTAGTCATGTATGGATATGAGAGTTGGACTATAAAGAAAGCTGAGCACCAAAGAATCGATGCTTTCTAGTTGTGCTGGAGAAGATTCTTGAGAATCCCTTGGACAGCAAGGAGATCAAACCACTCAATCCTAAAGGAAACCAATCCTGAATATTCATTTGAAGGATTGATGCTGAAGCTGAAGTTCCAATACTTTGAAGTTTCAGTACCTGATGTGAAGGACACCTCATTGGAAAAGACCCTGATATTGGAAAAGACTGAAGGAAAGGAGGAAGTGGGTAGCAGAGGATGAGATTGTTAAACAGCATCCCCAGCTCAATGGGCATGAATCTGAGCAAACTCCATGAGACAATGAAGGACAGTGAGGCCTGGCATGCTGCAGTCCATTGGGTCACAAAGAGTTGGACATAGCTTAGCAACTGAGCACAACATAACATACAGCCTTTAAGACAAACTTTTAAGAACTACTAATATACTTTGGTGCAGGTGACTGATTAGAGACACTGCATTAAATATACACTGATGAGTATTATTAGAATGGAAGGAAGCAGATCATGTGCATTTGTGATTGTGTTCTGTTTAAACTTGTTGATTATAATAAAAAATCAGAACAAAATCTTGTTTACCACATTTAATCCCAGAAAAACTGTCAGTTATCTGAAGTGCTGAGATATTTTGCAAGCAAATATTTTATTGAACATGCTAATAAATATCAAAGTGTTAAATTTCCTGTGGGGTTATCTTAATTTTAATTAATTTTATTGGCATATAGTTGTGTAGTTTCTACTGTCCAGTAATGTGAATCAGTTATATGTATACATATATCCACTATTGATACTATATTTAAAATAGATAAGTAATGAGAACCTTCTGTATAACTCAGGTAATGCTATGGTCTATGGTAACCTAAATGGGAAGGAAATCCAAAAAAGGGGATATAGGTATAGAGATTATCTTAATTGTTGATCTTAAATGCTTTTACATTGTCCCCATATAAATAGTATGATCCAATCACAAAGGCCACAATTTTTTTGTATACAGCCTCCCACACATATAAACATGATGTTTCCTTGTTTTGAATGGAAAAATCGTGTAAGAGAAGTATATTAGTAGTTCTAAAGAGAATGCCATGGTAAAATATGTAGTGAAAAGAGAGGTTAGTTTTGGAAACAGCTCTGGTGGGTAGCATGTGCAGGCCTAGGGATGGTTTCGGCATTGTCATTCCAGGATTCCTTGCGATGTTTTCTAGAATTAAAAATCAGTGCTTTTGCCCTCCAACACTATCTGGGTTGTTGCTTGTGATACATGCAAAGCATGAATCCAGATTTTCAACTTGAGAGAACTGACAATATAATATCCACACTAGTCAGTTACTTCTTCATTCAGAGATTTGCACTGTCAAACCCAGTGCTAATTGCTGATGATATAGACAGATAAGACAGAATTACTCTTCTGCAGAAGCTTGTAGTTCAGCATGGCAGCGGGTCGTTTTTTGTGGTTGCAGCTGCGAGGGTCCTGGGCACTAGCCACCATCTGTGTGAGCTATTAAATCTCAGAGAAAAATAAATAAATAAATGAATCTCAGAGAAGCACTCAGACAAGCCAGGACCAATGGAGGTGACCAGCAGATGATGCCTCAGAGCTTTGAGGACCAGACCTAAGCGTGTGTTTATCTGCTTTAATGCCCCCTCCTCTCTACATATTCTTGTGGATCACATGGCATGTGGGGTAACGTAAGACCTTGCTGGAGAGGCCTGGACACTTTACTTTTCAGCCAGAATGCTCTGGATTTAAAAGTCTTTATAATTTGGGTGTCAGAAACTAAAGCATCTACATTAAGCCAAACAATGATTTGTCCAGTAGTAGCTTGACGCTAGTAAAGGGTATTTGATTCTCCTGCTCGAGCATGTATAGAATTAAAATACAATCCAATCGTGATCCATAAAATTAGTTCTTCCAAATGTGTCCTCTCCGTTTAGGAGTGTGTGAACGTGTATGTCAGTCTGTCAAGCGGCATTCGTGGTTTCCATGCACATCAGAAGAGTGATGGGAGAAGAAAAGGAAGAGTTAATCTCTGTGAGGGAACCAGACAGCTCTGGCGGGGGGGAGTGGCGCTACCAAGCACTGTGATAAGCTTTATTTAGTTAGGATTTTTTCATCAAGAAAAGCTGGATGGAATATTACTCAGCCATTAAAAAGAATTCATTTGAATCAGTTCTAATGAGATGGATGAAACTGGAGCCCATTATACAGAGCGAAGTAAGCCAGAAAGATAAAGACCATTACAGTACACTAACACATATATATGGAATTTAGAAAGATGGTAACGATAACCCTATGTGCAAAACAGAAAAAGAGACTCAGATGTATAGAACAGACTTGTAGACTCTGGGAGAAGGCGAGGGTGGGATCTTTCAAGAGAACAGCATTGAAACATGTATATCATCTAGGGTGAAACAGATCACCAGCCCAGGTTGGATGCATGAGACAAGTGCTCGGGGCTGGTGCACTGGGAAGACCCAGAGGGATCGGGTGGAGAGGGAGGTGGGAGGGGGGACCGGGATGGGGAATACATGTAAATCCATGGCTAATTCATTTCAATGTGTGACAAAAACCACTGCAATGATGTAAAGTAATTAGCCTCCAACTAATTAAAAATAAATGGAAAAGAAAAGAAAAGCTGGATGTTCTCCAGTATGATGTGATACATTTGCATTCTTTCTTCTAAAAAGCCCACATCCATACCAGTGCTTCTTTGCCATGAGCACTCATGATGTTCCAAGAGGCAAGTGGCTGAGTCTCTCCCATTAAGCGTTCCAGTGTTTACCACTTACTGGTGGTGTGAGGGCTCAATGCTGATCTCCACTAGAACGTGAACACGGTTTTTCCAGCATTAGGAAGGTTCTGTCCACGCCCTAAGACCGTTTGACACAGTCCCCTCTGGGGCAATGTGGCTGGCGCCCCTGTCCTCCCAGTGTGGGCCTGAGAAGGCACCGCTTCCTCTCCCTCGGGGCTTCCCTGGCGCCTCACATGGGAAAGAACCCTCCTGCCATGCAGGAGACCCAGGCTGAGTCTGTGAGTGAGCAGGATCCCCTGGAGGGGGAGATGGCTCCCCACTCCAGTGTTCTTGCCTGGAGAATCCCATGGACCCAGGATCCTGGCAGTGTACAGGTCACGGGGTTGCAAAGAGTCAGATACAACTGAACGACTCACACTTTCACACTTTCCCTCACCCGTGATGTCTACTCAGAACCAAGCCCAGTCCACTTGCCTCCCAGACATTCAGGGTGCCTACTCAGGATGTACACCCTCCTAGAAAGACAGAGTCAATCTCGAAGTGCTTCAGAGCAAGACCAGACACCGATTCCCATTACGGCAAATTCAAAGTTGAAGTCACCGCAGGCACAGGGGTGAGAAAGTGGGACAAGGCTTCGGTGCCACATTCTGTGGCACGTTCCAGTGGGAGGGGAGACATCCGCAGAGAACTGCGACACGCGCTTTCAAACTCTGTACACGGACTGGGAGGAGGAGAGGAGAACGTGGTAGCCCCTGGGACCGAGAAATGCAAACGCATAGTGATTCCATTTTACATAAACAGAGAGAACTCAGCATGATGCAGATAAATGACCTGGACGCAAATGGCATCTTTTGTCTTTAAGGTAAAGGTAAAAGTTAGAGAGAAAAGGATGACCTGGCAGTGTCCACTCAGCTTTCTATAAACTGTGTAGCTTCCTAAGAACTGCATAAAACCGTGTGTTTGAAAGTCTGGATTTCTTGTTAAAATTGCTGGCGTATGAACAGTGACGAGGCTGCCCGTGCTGTGGGTTTCCTCAGGTCTACGACGGAAAGGACAGCTCGTCGCGGCCCCTGGGCGCCTTCACGAGGAACGAGCTGCTGGGGCTCGTTCTGAATAGCACCTCCAACCACCTGTGGCTGGAGTTCAACTCCAACGGATCCGACACAGACCAGGGCTTCCAGCTCACCTACACCAGTAAGTGCCGTGCGGGTTCACCATTTCACCTTCCTTTTACTTTCTCAGGATACAGCTGTTACTCACTCATATGGTACCTTTTAAATATAGATTTTTTTTTTTCCTGGGCCCCCTCCTGTGTTTTTGGATCTCTGTTTAATTCTGTGAATTGTTGAACAGGCAGTAAATTTAGACACATTACCAGAAGCAGGAGTTTGAAGCATATTTATTTAGACATATTCAAATTCTCTTAACATGGCTATACTTGGAAAGAAAATATCATGACATTGAAGAGATATTAGGGATAAAATGATTGTGATTTAATGCACCTGACAAAAATTCACAGACATATGTATGAAAGATTTTGAATGAATGATACAATTAATAGTAATAGTCTTTGAATGCCTACCACACATCAATACTTTTCTTTTATATCTATTCGATTCTATACATTATGTAATATAGATTACATGTGCATAAAATATAATAAATAATTTTTACATATAAATGCACAGGTACACACATATGGGTGTGTGTATATATACATATCTCAACTCTATGTTGTAAGCACTTTCTTCTCACGGCTAATTTCCTATGAGAAAACTAAACAAAGTAATTGCACCGTGTGTCCAAGTTATCAGGTAATGAGTCAGTGGAACGAGGATTGGCTTTGTAGCTCACAGTTTCTGTTTTTTATATCTTAAACTTTTTAAAGTAAGTATAAACCAGTTAGCAATGTTGCGATAATTTCAGGTGAACAGCAGAAGGACTCATCCATATATATATGTGTGTGTGTGTGTGTGTGTGTGAGTGTCCACACTCCCCCAAACTCCCCTCCCATCCAGGCTGCCACACAACATTGAGCAGAATTCCCTGTACTATACAGTAGGTCCTTGCTGGTTGTCCATTTTAAATGTAGCACTGTGTGCATGCCCAGCGCAAACTCCCTAACTATCCCTTCCCTCCATCCGTCACCCCTGACAACCATAGGATTGTTCTCTAAGTCTGTGGAGCTCACAGTTTTAAGCAGTATTCTTGTGCCCCCTATTAATATAATTAATATAAGTTAATATGAAAATGCCTTTTTTAAAAGAAAGATGAATTTGAACAAGACAAAGGAGGGTAAAATAAAGGAGGAGAAGTTGTGCTTCCACAAAGAGAAGCTGGCAGCATGGTAACTGTCATTTTTAGCATTTTTAGTTCCAGAAAAATGAACTTTAAAAAGTAGCTATTTGGTATGGGTAACTAATTAAAATTGAGTAGTAAATTAACTAAAATGCTTAAAATCTACAAGACAGCCCAATTCTTCACCAATTTGATGGTTAAAAATCTTTGTGATACCAAATACTATGACATAGGAAATTAAAATTTTTGGATTTTTGAGCATGAAAGTATGTTAATGATTATCAAGATTGATTCCTTATTTGACAGATAAGCAAATGAAGGCCTGAAAAAGATAATAACTATCCCAGACACAAAGCTAACCCAGATGTCTTAAAGGAAGATTAATTGCCTCAAATCCCCCTTGGTAGGTGAAATTGCATTTGAAGAATTATAAGCCTTTTGGGAAAAACAGCATTACAGTCTTATGGACATGATGAGAAAGCAAATGTTTCACTTTCATAAAAATAACCATTTAAAAGACTCCATGAAGTGAAAGCATATTAGTTATATTGTATGCAAATAAATTGCTAGCAATTATATTGAAAAATAAATGTATGGTTATAATTTTTGTTTACTAGAATTCTTCTTTTCAGAATTATACGCTCAAAAAAGTTTCAAAGAGCTCTTGTCAAGTCAGTTTGCTCCGCTTGCAGATAAAATGTAAACTTTCCTGATCTCTTTTTATTCCTACTGTGAGTTTTTCATCAAATGCTCATCAGATGTAACATTGCTTGTATGTGTCAATACTCACTTCCCAGCTCTTACACTGGTCTTACAGTTTAGAGGGGCATGGGTACTTGAGAAGGAGAACAATGTGAACACTCTCTGGGTAACTTTCTGAGTTTACTGGAATAAGGGCAAGCCCCGGGACACCTGGATTTCCTCCACCTCTTCTGTTGCTCTAGCTTCTCTGACAAATCGTGCTTCTTATGACGCTTTGTCAACGAAGAGCTGAAAACCTCTCCTCTCTCTCCTGCGCATCTTCAGGACTGAATTCTTGGTGCCGCCCTGGTGTGGGGGTTACTAAGCTTCCTAGAAATGTATCATGTTTGACACTTTATACCACATTATTTCTCAACCCTAATTACCCCGTCCTATTTTCCCTCTGATGATTTCAAAGGAGAGAATTTCTTAAAAAAAAAAAAAAAAGAAAGAAACTTTTTATTTTACATTAGAGCCTAGCTGATTAACAATGTTGTAATAGTTACAGGTGAACAAAGAAGGGACTCGGCCACAAATAAACACATGTCCACTCTCTGCCAAACTCCTCTCCCATGCAGGCTGCCACATAGCATTGAACGGAGTTCTCTGTGCTATATGGTAGGTCCTTGTTGCTTATTCATTTTAAGCATAGTACTTTGTACATGTCCACCCCAAACTCCCTAACCATCCCTTCCCCTTATCCTTCCCCCCGCAACCTAAATTTGTTCTCTAAGTCTGTGAGTCTCTTTTTGTTTTATAAGTCCATTTGCATCATTTCTTTTCAGACGTCACATATAAGGAATGACATATGGCATTTCTGCTTCTCTGACTTACCTCACTCGGTATGATAATCTCTAGGTCCATCCATGGTGCTGCAAATGGCATCATGATATTCTTTTTAAAGGCTGAGTAAAATTCCATTGAATATTGTTTATTCATTAACATCTTCTTTATGCATTTTTCTGTCAATGAATATTTAGGCTGCTTCCATGTGTCAGCTATTGTGAACAGTACTAGAGTGAGCACTGGGGTGCATGTAGAAGAACAGTAACTTTCCATTTATGCACATTCATTTCATATAGTCTCATGGTCATGCAAAAGACATCGGGAAGCAAATTCACACCTGCTGGGGTTTATAGTCACTTACTGAGATGGGGGCTACTGAACTGTTTCTAGAATTCTGACATCCCCTTTATTTTCCCAGTGGCAATGAAGAAAGCCCATATACCCTAAGAACCTGTGACTGGGGTGACGTTAGAGATTGTAGGCATCATCTGTGTGTCATGCTTACCTTCCCTTGTCAAGAAGAGTGGCTTTGATGTGTTATTCCAGTCCCTCCAGCCAGCACGTGATGTTTGTCCTTTCTCCATGTCACTCTCCAGTCTGTTAGAACCTTGGCTTCTCCTCCCATTTCTGAGTAACTTTGAGAAACTTTGAAGCTGTGGATCTATTCATGGGCACTTTCCAATTATATGAACTCTATTTATTTATTTATTTTAACACAGCAGCACAAGCTTTCTAAAAGAATAAGAAAGAAATACTGGTGACAGTCAGCATTCATTTAGCTCTTAGGCGAATCAACTTGACGGAGTAGCTGTCTTTCCTGCCTATTTTCCCTCTTGGCCTTCACCTTCAACAACACAGATGCTCCCTGGATACAAGTCTTGTTTCTGGGATTTTCCTGGAGCTAGAACACACTGCCAGATGGAAAAAAGGTATTTGTAATACAGAATGGATGGTGCTGATGGTTATAATCAAAATATTAATAATTTCTCTTTAAATTCTTAGGTTTAAACACTCAGTAATTAAAAAATTCCAAGCTCATTCAATATGATTGAATACCCTCATCAACTCTTCATCTCTAAAGGCGGTTTGGAAATAATTTTGTTGTTGTTGTTCAATTGCTGAATCATGTAACCAACCCAATGGACCACAGCAAACCAAGCTTCCCTGTCCTTCACTGGCTCCTTGAGTTTGCTCAAACTCATGTCTATTAATTCAGTGATGTCATTCAACCATTTCATCCTCCATTGCCCCCTCATCCTCCTGCCCTCAGTCTTTTCAACATCATGATCTTTTCCAGTGAGTTGGCTCTTCGAATCAGGTGGCCAAAGTGTTTGAGCTTCAGCTTCAGCATCACTCCTTCTAATAAATATTCAGGGTTGATTTCCTTGAAGGTTGATCGGTTTGATTTCCTTGCTGTAAGGGAGTCTCAAGAGTCTTCTCCAATACCGCAGTTCAAAAGCATCAATTCTTTGGTGCTCAGGTTTCTTTATGGTCCAACTGTCACATCTGTGTATGACTACTGAAAAAACCGTAACTTTGACTATGCAGACCTGTGTTGGCAAAGTGATGCCTTTGCTTTTTAATAAGGTGTCTAGGTTTGTCATAGCTTTTCTTCTAAGGAGTGTCTTTTAATCTGTGGCTGTAGTTGCTGTCCACAGTGATTTTGGAGTCCAGGAGAAGAAATGGTCAAAAACTATTTTGAACAAATTACTAAAGCTTAAGACTGTTGGAAGGCACATTCAACTATTTGCAAAAGACTGTTTTAATTGCCTCTTGCTAGTTAATTGCATTACTTAAGGAAACATTCATATTTAAATGTTTCAAATCCATAATTAATCTACACACAAGTGGATTAGAAAATGTCAACAGAGAGTAAATATATAGTTTAATGACATCTTGAAGGTTTTCAAATGAGTACAAATTATATTTGTATATCCTTTAATATTTAGAGCATACTCCCCAGTATCTTGTAATTTTACCATCTTGGCAATTCTGGGTCTTGATAAATAGCCCCTTTAACTCTCCTTCATAAGTCAGAAGCTTTTATTTTATTTTTTTTTTCATTTATTTTTATTAGTTGGAGGCTAATTACTTTACAAGGTCAGAAGCTTTTAATTTTCCAGATCTGTAAGTGCTCTGCTGAAACATCCACATCCAGGTTGCTACAACCGGGAACCAATCCAGGTCTTCTCAACGAAGCTCAACACTGTCAATGGCCTTGTTTTAAAATATTTTAGATGATCTCACTGATGAGTTCCACATTAATTGACTGATATTTATATATGTAAAGGCACTGGCAAGGAAGGAAAGCCAGGCATCTTTGGGACAAATAGGAATAAGTATGTTAGTACCCACTTAATGAGCAAGTG